GACATCTCAGGCTCTCCTTTGCTCCAAGGCCGGCATTCCTTTGTGGAGGAGCCAGACTCCAGTTGCATTTCTCGGTTTGTTCTTTCTTGTCCTACTTATTGAAGTGTAATTGGTATACTGTGAACTTCACCTTTTTGTAGGCATCCAATTCTGTTGATTTTTGACAAATGCATGCTGTCATGTAACCATTAACACAATTTACAGAACAGTGGCATCCCTTCCCCCAACTCTCTGGCCACCTTTGTAGACCAGACATCCCCCAGTGTCACTCCTCCAAGAACGCACGGCCACCAAGTCCATTCTGACTCACAGTGACCCTGTAGGACACAGTAAAACTGCCCCTGTGGGTTTCCAAGTCTGTACATATTTATGGGAGTCGAAAGCCTCATCTTTCTCCCATGGAGTTGGGCCTGTTGGCTTTGAACTGCTGATCTTGCAGTTAGCAGCCTGATTTGTAACCCACGATGCCACCCCTAACACCAACCCCTGGCAGCAACTGATCTGTTATCTTCCCTTACAGTTTTGCATCTTCCAAAATGTCAAACAAATGGAACCGCATAAGATGTAGTCTTTAAACCAGAAGTGTATTAAGATAAACCCACACACAGTTCGGCTCCTCTCCTTCGTTGCGATCCCCTTGTACCCCCTCCTCCCCGGTTTCCTGTTTCCCTTCCTTCTCTGTTCCTAACCCTTCTGAACGCCATCCTTCCGTAGATGCTCTCTGATCTAACATTTTTATTTAAAGAAAAGTCGCCAAGATAGTACAGAGGTCTTACGTACTTTAACCCAGCGTTTCCTACTATTAATAGCTAAGGGATAGTTGTCAAAATCAAGACATTCCTATCATTTCCGTTCCGGTACAGTCAGGTTTTATTTGGACTTCATCTGCTCTTCCTTTAGTGCCCTCCTTTCTTCCAGGGTCCCCATGGTGTGCAGGCATGAGGTCGCCTCCTTTGCCTCTCACTTGTCAGGGACTTCATGGTTGACAGCCGTGCTCAGCTGTGTGGTACAGGACCCTTCGTTTGGGGTTCGATGCTTTCTCCCAAAGTGTTTTTCCTCACACAGTTTCTAGTGATTGTGGGCCGTGAGAACCTGCAGAGGCCAAGTGCCCTTCCCATCACAGCATACTCAGGACACAACCCGTCCATGTGCCTCATGACAAGGATTTATTCACTTTTATTGCTACTTAATCCTCCAAGGTACCTGTCCATCACACCGGGCCTAGCCACTCACCGGTTGGGCATTGGGGCTGTCTCCAGCTTTGGGGATTACGAACAGAGCTGCTATGCCCATGGGCGCACACGGTGTTGTGTGTATGTACATTTGTGTTTTTCGAGGGAAACTCCGGGGAGCAGGGTTGCTGTGTTGCACATGAAGAATGTGTTTAACGTTTTATGAAACAGCCACACTCTTTAGTCACACTCTGATATGTTGTGCCCCCCTGCCCCCACGCTGTAGCCTTCCGTCATTGTCTTGGGTCATGGTTCATCTTAGAAATACCATTAGAATGGATGAGCTGCGCAGCCCGGTTTCTGGACTCGTCACTTGGTTGTTCTGGCAGCAGCATCACAGGACGTTGAGTGCTGTCCTGTGGGATGGGCGAAGGCTTACAGCAGAGATGGTCAGTTCTATGTTAAAAAATATATACTCCATTGCAACCGCCTCCATGCGACACCACTTACCCCACATCCTCCCTGGGTTCCTATTTCCATCCATTTATTTCCTAACCCTCTGAACGTTGCCCTTGGCTGGCTGCATTTTTTATTGATTTGTCTGAGGTGTGCGTGCATTCATTGTGAGCGCTGCCGTTCCCCTTGTAGAGCGGCCCCGTGTTTGGCTGAACGCTGAGCGGACTTTGATGTACCTCCAGGAAGACGCTGAGGCAACCTCTTCATGAGACTTTCTAGGTCTGCCCTCACTTCCTCCATTCCTGTGATATTTATTTAGGAACAAGTTGAGTGATGGGAGGGAAGGGAAGGTGGAGCTTGGGACGGTTTATGGAAGGTTATCAGCGAAGGGAGCAGCTTCTGTTTCCAACTTTATCTGAGAGCATTTATTGATCAAGTGAACATCTGGGACCACGACTTGTCACATTACAATTGGCATTGCTTGTCTGCTGCGGCGCACAAGTACAACAGTGGTCTCCCCGGGGCGTCCACTCAATGCTGGCATCAGCTCCAGGAGGCAGGCAAGGTTACCTACCACCTGTATCTCATCAATGAAAAACGGTTGGGCGGAGAGAATATGTGACTAACAGCTGGTAGACTCTGGATGGGACCAAAGATTTTTCTGGCCCCAGGACCCCAATGTAACCTGCCATAAGCCACCTCCTTAGACGATATCCCTCAGGTATAGTTAACCATCAGTGTTTTATATTTTTTGAGAGATAAGAAAAAGGGATTGGGGAGAAAGGATAGAGAGGTTGATTCCTAAAGGAAGTGCTGTGCCTTGAAATAATCTTCTACAACCCCATGTCTACTGAATACCTTGACATGAGAGATGCCCTGGTTTGGGAGTGGGCACCCTGGTTGGGGCGAGCCCTAGTTTCCATAAACGTTGACCCAGCGTTTGCATATTCATTTAGTCCCTCCGTTCCCTCATCTGGATGCCAGTCACCCAGCTGGTGCGCAGAGGTCTGCGGTCCCTGACTGGGAGAACTGAGTTACATGTAGGCCACAGGCCACTCGGGGCTCCCTGCCCCCCTGCCCCAGTGCCTGCGGCTAGTCAGGGGCTCCTGCCGCCCCTTCCAGAAGAACTAGACACGTGTCTCCGTACAGCCACTCCAGTGGACACATCTAGAGTGGACATTGATTGTATTTTGCTGCACAGCATCCAGGTCACAAGGGTCTGGCTCCAGGAAGAAGCCAAGGAAAGGTGGGCAAGCAGCACCCCTTCCCACCCTGATCTCAGTGCCTGGGGGTGGTGTGGAATGGGCAAGGGGCCCGAGGAAGGCTCAAGTCCAGGGCTTGGGCACCAGACACTGGTGGCTGCTCTGCCCCTTTGTTAAGAAGAACTTGGAAAGATGCAGCCCAGAGGGAATCAGAGGGCAAAGCTGAAAAGGGGCCAATTGCTGATCCCCCAGCCCTACCCATACCTGAAACCCATACCAGTTCTTTTTAGTTATCTAACCATATCTGTGGTGTGTGTGTGTCAAGTGAGTACTGTTATTGTTTAAACCACTTTGAATTGTATTTCAGTAACAATACTGTAGTGGAACCAGTTCCTTTATGTAACCTTTTGTCACGGTTCCTTCAAAAAATCATTTGAATGCTTATCCCCACACCCGCTCCAACCCCTGAAGAGTTACCTGTGGCCTACTTTTCTGTTCCAGAAGGTTTGTTACTTTTGCTCAGATTGACTGACATTTCTGGGACAAGCTGTAATCAATCAACTGGATGACTTCATGACTTTTGTCTGGCCTGGGCTGCAGTCTGCCCTGTGATGGTATATTTTACAAACTTTGCAGGGATTGATCACTATGCGTATGCAAAGTACATGTTTGTGGCATACTGAGAGGGGATTGGCTGGGAGTTTGTTTATATAGGCAGCCCACCCCACAGAGGTTGTCTCACAGAAGCAGAAAGAAGAAAGGAGAGTGAGAGAGAGACAGAGAGACACAGAGAGAGAGCAAGTGCTCCCCAAAGAGCTGGAACCCAGGTCCAGGGCTCTAACACTGAAGACAGGGAGCAGGGCTCTGAGGGCTCCTGCCACAGGGTCAGTGATGCCTATGGCTCGGAATGCAGCTGAGAGCTGAACAAAGCTGGCTCTGAGCTGGGTCAGCGAGCAGCAGAGTGCCTGATGCAGAGAGCCCTGTCCCAAGGAGGAGACCTGTCCCAAGGGTGCCAAGAGGAGCTAAGAGCTGCCCTGCCCTGCAGAAGGGAGAACGTGCTCTCACTTCAGGGGAGCCTGCCAACCTTTGCCCACAAGCTTCCTGATCCGGGGTGGTAACCTTTACTTCCTTCTCAAACCACTGAACTGTCAGAGGGCTCTGGGAGTTGTGGGCAGCCATTGCGACAGGCCCTGGAGCTTAGAACTAGAGAGTGCCAGGAGAGAAACAGCTGGTGATGGGATTGATGAGAAGGTTAGAGAGGTGGAGGTGGGTCTGCTGCATCTCACAAGGATCAGCTTTGGGCTGATCTGAAATCTCTCTTCTCTTCTGCCCCATGAAGTGAGGTGAGATCTTGGATATCTTGCTTTTCTTGCCTATGCATGCCCCTCACCCAAAGTTGGAGACACACACTACTTTTTATAGGGAAGAAGTGAAAAAACTCTTTAACTCTTAAAGTCCCATGAAAGGCAAGGTCAAATGCAGGGCGGCATCCACCAGAGACATCTCTCACTTATCAGACTCCCCTTTAAAACAGGCTTCTTGGCAAACGCTGCCAATCAGTTGGGGTTGGCCCCAAGCTGAAGTCTGTTTCCCAACAAAGCTGGCGAGACCTACATCCTTGCCTCGTGAGTGGTATCAATTAAGGAGTGGGGAGGTGGTTTGAATCAAAGCAGAGGATTAACTGCCGCTGCCTCTCCCAAGGACGCTGGCTGAGCGCAAAGGCAGATGCCATGTTGATAAATGGAAGAAAGCGAGTAGTATCCGCATGCAGGCCTGGGCCAGTGCCAGGGCTAGCGAGCCCCTTGGGAGGAGGGTCTCTTCCTAGTGACCTCTGAGGAGGGAAGCTTGGCATTCAGTTAGCTGACTCTTGGAGCGGAAAGCAAGCAGTGGCCACTAGATGGAGGCCGACCAGGTTCGTCTCCATTCAGAAGGGTGGGCGAGGTCCTCGTAGGGCACCTTCAGCCCAGCTGCAGCCCATAATCAGACTGGCCCCAGCATGGTGGGTGAGCCCCTCCCCAGGCTGCCAATGTTGAGCAAACCCTCTTGCTTGGGCCCCTGGTCCAAGAACAACAACAAAGGAAGCGCTCGTTATTCCTGAGTTGGCGCTTTTCTAATTCTGAGGCGGAGGATGCTTCTCTCCCCCTTGCAGAACCCACAATCCACAATGACACGTGGACGGGGAGGAGTTGTCTGTCAAGTGCACCAACGCCCGCCCCTGCCCGCTGGAGAGAGAAGTAAGGGGGTGGGGAGGGAGGTGCGCAGCATCCTCTCTGGCCGGCCCCTTACATCTGTGTCTGGTCTTCTACATGTTGGCTGGAGGAAGGGGAGCTCGCCGGCCCCAAGCAGACATGTTCTGGCCTTCCCTGTGGGGCAGTGCAATGGCGACTGAGCCTAGCTTCAGCGGAGGGGGGGTGGGGATGAAAGTGAAAGAGAAGCCAGACTGGGCGTGGGGAGGGTGGAGCACCCATGGCAGCTTCCTCGCACACCTGCCCTTGGAGGGCTGGCTGGAGAGGGACCCCAGGAAGCGCTCAGGCCACTTCACAGAGAATCAGGCAGCAGCAGCTGCTTGCCCTTGAACTGGAGAGGTGGGCGAGGGGCTTTGTGTGCGCCTGATTCAAAGCACGCCTCTGAAGAGGGCTCCAGGGGCTAGCCAAGTGGATTGCAGATGGGACAGGGAATTGCGTCTTTCTCCCTTTTTCCCCTCTCACAGAAATTTAACGAAAATGCCTCCCAGCGTGCAATTCTGCTTACTTGTTCGAAGCCTGTCCATCCACCACCATCCTCTTCCACAGATCCATGAGAAACTGCGGCTGGTTAGCACTGAAAGTAAACCATCCCAAATAGAAGGGCGGCCCCACCCCCGGACGCTGGGCCCACAGCCTGGCCGGCAGGAGACTCATGCCTTCCTACAGCCACTGTGCTCCTTCTGCAAACAAACTGAGCCCAGGAAGCAGCTCATCCATATTCCATGCTGGGCAGCCCAACTCAGCAATCATTAACCCCAATGCTCACAGGTGACTTTGGGGTGCTGATTGCCGGGGACACCCAGAAGCATTTAGGGGAAATGGGAGCTTGTTCTGTGGGTTACAAACCTAGTGGTGGTAGTCACCAGGGGCCTTCTCGGTGCCTTTTGACTTAAAGTGATGCCACGTGAGAGCAGAATTGCTTGGAACGTTTCTAGGCCATGCCCATCAGGTGGTGGCTTGGAATGCCAGCTTTTTTGAGCACATTGTCCCCAAAGCGTATGAGACTGCTGAGAGGGGGGCGTGGGGGGGGCACCAGATCCATCCAGAGGGGGTGCAGAAGCAGATGCTGACACTATCCTGGATTATGGGCTAGAGTACAAAAAGGTTTTAAGGGGGGGTGATGTGTGGAGTAATTTTGTTTTCTGAACAGAGGGCCCATAGGCCAGATCCATTTGGGAACCTGAGGGTTAGCAGCCAAGAGTGTCGCTGTTACCCCACTGGCATTCCCTGCCGCAGATGCATCAAGCGCAGGCCTGGCCAGGGCAGGTGAGCTAGATGAGCTTCCATACAGGTGGAGGAGCCAGCCCCTCTCACACAGAATTCTGGTTTTTTTGCAGAGGAGGAGAACGCTGCTGCCAGCCTGCAGGCTTCCAGGGTATCTGGTGGAGGACTCCGGTTACCGCTGTGGCCAGGTCTTTCTCATGGGCAGCCCCGAGGGGAGTTGGAGCAACTCAGTATTCCTGTGGGGGTTTGCAGAAAGGCTGCTGGAAACCCTTTCAGGGTCTTGGGAGAGACTTCCCAGGTGAGCATCTATTACCATCTTCTAGCGGAGCATCTATCACCCCCCAAGCCCAGGCCACGCGCTCATCTAAAGGGTGTGCATAAGCTTCTGTGGGTGCATGTGGCCCCTCACTTTGCACGCTGTGGAGGAGGAGAAGAAGTGGGAGAGCTACCAGTTTCCGGATTCCTAATGGGAGAGCAGGTAGAGGGTCTGAGCGGCTTCTGGGCCTCAATGCAAACTGGTAGCTCCACCCCCAACCTATTGACCAGAGGGATGCCTGTGTAAAGCGGTGGGCTCTGGCAGCTCCTGCAAGGTGGGGAGCATACATCCCCTCCGCTGCTTCCAGGCTGCAAGTGGAGCCCGTGGTCCTCCTCTGTCCCACCCAGCCCCACTTCCCCCGCACAACAATGAAGGAAGCCCCCCAAAAGACTACATGCACTTGACTTTTCGTGTAAAATATTTCTCGTTTAATTAAAAAAACAAAACAAAGATGACCTCACACGGGGCTCTGGGAAAGCGTGCCCTGGATTCCAGCCTCAGAGGGTCAAGGGGAGTCGCTGATCTTGGCAAATGTGGCTGCTTTCCATTGCCGAGAGGGCCCAGGTGATGCAGACAGCCAGTGTGTGTGTGCGTTCTTTAGCTGGACTGCTGGAAGGTGACATGACAGGAGGAAGGGGGCTGCCCTGCAGCCCCTCTAAGAGGGGCAGGGGAGAACATTTAAGGTGTTAGCCTCTTGCTGCCAGAGGCTGTGATTAGTCCCTTAAACCTATGGTTACAAACAGATTTATGGTTTGAATGTGGCTCTCCCAGGAGGCCAGGGACCATCAGCAGCCACGGTAGGGGTGGGCGAGGGGGTCGGCCAGAGAGTGGCCTGCTGGGAAACCATCCCCAGACAATCCAGTATTGTTAAGATCAACAGGACAACATACTAAAACCCTTTATACCAAACAATAGTAAATAATTATACCAATATAAACAGGGCCTCTCACCCTTTATTGAAATGGCACGTCCATGTTAAAACAGTATTCTGATCACTTCATACTTGTGCTACCCCCACCACCACCACCACGGTGTTGCTGAAGGGGGGCAGGTGTGTCCCCACCCAAAGGCTGCAGACTCATGCATTGAGCAATTCGTGTTCTTTATCAGTTTTCCCAACAGCATCAGGGTTCGATAAAGGGTCGAGGTCAGCAAAGAGGCTGAACCAGGCGGTCAGGTCCGAGGCAGCCTTGGCAGGCTCTGGGGAGAGAGAAGGAAACATGAGCAAACCCACCGCCCCAAATGCCACCCCTGCCATGCTGGATGTAGGCCGGCCAGGCCCCATCCTTTCCCTCAGGAAAGTGGCCATCACTCTCTGTCTCTGAAAGGCATGGATTGTCATGCCCCCTCCTCCCTCCACTGCTTGTCACATGGGCAACCTTTCCTGACCGCGGAGCAAAGCTCAGTGATGAAGTGGCAGTTGTGTTGACCCAGCCAACCTCTACCAGCTGGGCTCTGGCTCTCAGCCCTGCCCAGCTGCTGACCACACCCCACAGAGTTGCTCAAACCTCAGATCCTGCCACTGCACGATCGCCAGGAAATACCAGTTATTTCATAAAGCAGTGCTTATTATTCCTGTCGTGCTGCAGGGATCCTTTTGAATCTCCTACGTCTCTAGAAATACCGTGGTTACTCTTCTCACTGCTCAAGGCCAGAGGCAAGTGACACCAAACCTGAGCCGCTCCTTTTCTACCAAGGCCACTGCCACCTTCAGCCCTCCTATCAAAGACAGGAGGCCCTGCACATGCCTCCATGCAGGGCGCTCACGGTTGCTTCCGTCCCCTTTCACCCTTCAGGCACGTGGGAGTCTTCTCCTGGCTGCTCTTTCCCTGACTTCCCGAAGAGCCTGGTTACAGAACCAAATGGCTTTCCAGAGAAAGAGCCCCTCTTCAAAAGAGCACCTGACACACGTGATTTTAACTAAGCAGGGGCTCTCTCCAGTATCCATCGTTCCACTGGCTCCCATGACCCACTTTCCCTCCCCTCACAGGTGGGAGTGTTAGACTTGGAAGCAAATGGCTCTGGCAGGTTCTCCTTCCGGCTGAGAGCTGCGGGAAGTCTGCTTGCCACCTGGCCCCAAAGTCTTTAAACACCTTGGAAAGGCATGTGGTTAAGCGTGGTTACACTAGAGAGATTGGATTAAGATGGGATTTTCCTGATAGGAACGGGGCCTCTGATCCAATCCTTCTTTAGCACTTAAACGTTTAAACAGTATTCCCATTACTTTACACTCGTTATCCCCCCATCTTCAAACAGCCAAAAACCTTTTGTACATATAATATGTTATAATGAGATAAACAACCTATCGTGTTTATAGAGATAAAAAACGACTAACTGGACTAGTTGGTAATTTGCAAATGATTGCTGTATTTGTTATTTAACTTTAATTTCATTTACGGTCAGATGTCCAAAATCTGGTTTATTGTGATATAACAAAACTTGAGAGCGCTAAACACAATTTGGAAGAAGGGAGAGGGAAAAAAATAAATCCTGAAAAGAGAGTCGATGGCCTTCCTTTAGTGGTAGAAGAGGCCACACGAGGCCGCCATGGGGCGAGTCTGATGTCGGCGCAGTCTATTTCTGGAATTGACCGAGGAGATCAGATATCTTAGAGATATGACCGGTTTGGGAAGAATGACCAAGTGACACGCTCACTTCCTCCTCAGGCACGGGCGTGGCGTGCCGAATGGAGGCATCCAGGGGCAGCGCAGCGGCTGGTGGCAGAGGCCGCCTCTCGCTTCCTGTGGTCACCAAAGGAAAAGCACCTCTGACCGAGGAACCGAGCGCGTGGCAGACAGAATCTCCAGTGGAGCTGAGATTCGCGCGGGCGGGGGCCTGCCCGGAAGAGAACAGACCTTATGAGCTTGAAAAGACTTCTGTTGGCAACCGAGAGACCTGGCATTTGCTGGGAACACGAAATAGAAGCCGGATTCATTCGGCAAGGGCTGGTGAGAACGCCCCCTCCTCACGGTTCTCCCTCGGCAGCCCAGGAGATCTCAGGGTTTGGTCCTTCCATACAGCTCAGTCAAGGGGACTAGGAATTAGCAGTAAGCCAGAAGGAAGAGAGCCAGTCGGGGTCATTGCTGCTCTTGTTCCATACTGCCAAGTCGAGTTTTGATGGACTTCGAGCCCCCGGGGCAGAGTAGAACTGGCCCCTGGAGGTTTCTAGGCTGCGGGCTCCAAGGGAGCCGGCAGGCGGCCTTTCTCCTCCGGAGAGGCTGGGTAGATCGTCAAGATCGACCTTTGGGTTAATGGCCAAGTGCTTAACCACTGGGCCACCAAGGGCTCCTTATGAAACTTCAGGGAGAGTGTAAAGCTTGCCCCACCCCCCTGCATAATTAATCGGGGTCACTAAGTTGCACTTGTAAAAAATGTTGCATTGGCGAATGGTACGTTATCTGTAGTTTGACACTAAAATGCAATAGAGAAACCCTTCATCTGGGCTGCCTGCTTTGAGCCTGAGTTGCTCAGCTTGCAGTCAGAAAAACAGAGTCAGGAAAGGGGGAGAATGGCTTTGGGGGTGGGGGGGCTGCGTTACCTTTCCCGGCAGGGCTGGTGCCATTTGGACTGCTTGCCCCGGGTGCTGGCCACGGACGCGGTGGAGAACTGGCTTTGCTTTCTGACCAGCCTAATGTTCAAAACCAGAGGGCATTAGAGCCAGGGAGAAGCACTCCATGGGTCCACCCTGCCTGCTGTGGCTTCCCTAGGGGGCACAGGGGTGCAGATGGCCCAGGGTGACACTATCTGAGGGACGACACCAAAACGATGGTCTATAAAATTCCTACACAAGGTTTCGGCATTACTGTCTCATCTTTTGTAAAAAATATCCTTGTTGTTAGGACAGAAATACTTTTTACAAGCCCAGCTTACATGGTCTGAGTATACCTACAAGGCAGGACTCCACTTACTGGCTTTCTGAGCCTTCTGGTACCCTTTGATCAGGGCTACCCCCATTCTCCAGTGACAGCAGTGCTACAAATCATGGGGTCTCTTCTGTGCGTGCTGCAAACACATGCAATTTTCCTTGCTAGAGGGGTTTGTATAGTTGTTGATTTTGTCAGCTGTCTGGTATTTGGGCTGTAAGTTGACAATTCGTATTTCAGAACCTATGACAATAACTGCTTTTTGAGAATAAAGTCGAAACTAAAGGAAAAGGGGGAAAATAAAAAGGTTTCCCCTCATTTACTAATAATGTTATAATGAATAATGTAATTCCAATGTCGATTTTGCAAAACAATTTTGTTACTGGTATCATATGATGTAAAGACTTACATGTAAGCAACATACAACTACACTTATCAGATGTTCTAGGATTAAACTTGAAAATGAACGTTACTGATGGTTCTGTATGGTCTGGGACAGGAAGAGGTCTGGCGGGGAGGGGTGACACCATCAATTGCTGCACTGGGTGCCAGCCACCCCAGCAACATCACCATGCTGCCGGGCACAGGGTTCCCAACCACTGTGTTGAACCAACAGTTCCTCAGAGGGAAGACGCTGCTGGTGCAATCCCTCTCCTCATATTCTCTATACTTGGAAATCATCTTAGGAGAGGGTCGTTACTCTCGGTGCCGTAGAGTCGATGTTGACCCCCAATGGCCCATGTGATAGAGCAGAAGTGCCCGCCAGGGTGTTTTCAGCTGCAGTTTTTATGGAAGCAAATCGCCAGGTGGGTTTGAACCGCCGACCTTTAGGGTTAGCAGCTGAGAGATGAACCACTCTGACACAAGGAAATAGATACCTGTAATCATGCCCCATTCAAAACTACAAAAGCCTTAGAGAAAGCTGCTATTTTTGAAAAGCAAATTAGAAATAGCTGGTTAAGGCATTTTTGCTTTTTCAACTCTTATGCCCATTTTTCTCCTCAAGCATTTCATGATCAATAGTGTTTCAAGTAAGTGCCTGCTAGTCTGTCACCAGTGGGGAGAGCTTTATCAAGTGAAGTCCGCTCCTTGCAGCCATGAACGCAAACTCATTGCCATCAGACAGCTGGGACCACGGCAGCCCTAGAGGACGGTAGCCACAGACCTTCCCAACAGCACCTCGGCTCCACTTCCAGTGTGCTCAGTCTATCTGTTTCCTACCCAGCGAACTCAAATGGGGAAATTTAATTCGTATCGATAAACACATGGGATACCAGTCCAAAACATCCGGGGGAAGCCAGCCCTGCCTCTGTAACCTCTCACTGTAACGAGGCTTGACTGGGCTCTCAGGTGAGCACTGGACTGATAACTAAAGCGCCAGCACCTCAAACCCATTCGCCACTCTGCGGGAGAACGATGCAATAATGCAGACAGCCTCAGACGCTGTTCAGGACTCCTCAGTTGGCGTCCACTCGATGGCAATGGGGTTTCCACAGTGCGCTCTACGTTATCTTGCCCAAATGCTTTTTTAACACTCAATCTGAGTCACTGCAGAGTGACTTGGGGGCACTCGGCCTCCTGAGAGAAGGCGGCCCGGCTTCCTAGGCACTGGCTCTGCTGGATGATTCGCACGGCGCACTTCACGTAGGGCTCCACCAGTCAGTCACAGCACCTCCTCTTTAATTCCTTGTGGACATGGCCCCTCTTCCCAGTGAGATGCACGGAGCTTTTCCTCAGTGTGCTTCAAATTCCTGAACCAGTGTGCTCCTGTGGTCCTGGATTACGTCCGTCTGTAATGTGGATTATGCCATGTGGACCTCCAGATGAGGCGCCCCTGCAGACTGTCTCCTTCCATTGTGGGGCACACTGTTGACGGCCAGCCCCTCAAGAAGGAGTATATGTAAGAGGTATACTTTAGCTGGGACTCAAACTACTTGCTGCCATTGAGCTGATGGCGGACTCACAACAACCCTGCAGGGAAGGGTACAACTGCCTCTTCCCTGAGGGTTTCCGTGGCTGTAAGCCAAAAGCCACACCTTTCTCCTGCAGAGTGGCTGTGGGTTCAAACTGCTGACTTTGTAGTTAGTAGCTCAATGTATAACTCGCTATGCCACCAGTGAGTGGTGGCCGCCAATTTTCAACTGCAGCATGGAAGCCAACTTATAAAACAAGCATGCCACTCCATGGCTGACGTAAAGCAACAGGATTTAATACTGTTTATTCACCCTGGCTTTCTAAGACTCTTACTTGCAAGCAGACTTACAGAATCATACATACGTATTTGTTTGCACTTTTGTCTCATCTCCTAGAATCACGAGCCCCTTGAAGCCACGGATTGCATGTTACTCACCTTTTCATCGTCGGTGCCCAGAAACGGCTATATTCCTTCCTGATTGAATACTTTCACTTTAGGTAAGTAGCATGCATGCTCATTTATTAAGAGTAATCAAGGAGTAATGAAAATGGTCATCTGCAGTCTATACATCACATCTCAACAATGAAAACACAAAGCTGGTTTTAGCAGGTATTGTTACCCATTGAATCACCAGAGGCTTTCTTCCAAGGTGCTTCTAGGTGGTCTTGAACTTGAAACTTTGGAGTTAGTAGGTAAGCACACTAATCATCCGGCTAGGTACACTTGAAAATTGAGTCAATGCCAAACTCACAGTGACCCTATAGGACAGGGTAGAACTGCCCCTTTCAGTTTCCAAGACAGAAACTTTTTATGGGAATCAAAAGCTTCATCGGTCTCCTGAGAAGACGGTGGTTTCGAACTACTATCTTGCAGCTCACTGCCCAGTGTGTAACCAGTATGCCACCAGGGCTCCTTTTGAACATAGTTACCATAATTCATAAACATTCAAAGGCACCAGGTTCAAGGAACTCTCTGGAGTGATGTATTTATACCTTTTATTAGAAATACTTGATGTTTGTTCATGTAACAATGGATTGATCTTAAGGTCTATGATTTACACTTTGCTAACTTTTTTTTAATAACTAGTATTTTGTATAATCTAAGAATATGATGACCTCCTTGGGTCATAAAAGTGTTTGGCCCATGATAGTAGCACTTCTAAATGCAAATCACTTGGAACAGTGGCACATGGGGAATGTGTAAAGTGGGGCCGCCCGGGAAAAAAAAAAGGCCGAACCAAAAAAAAGGCCCAAAAGGAACAAAACCCCCGTGGGTGGGAAGGGTCCCCCCGTTTCCCTGCCCATGGTGTACGTAAGACTCGCCGGCGATCTGCTCTCCTCGGCCCAGCTCTCCTCCCAAGCCTGGCTGTCACGCTCTTGGTGCCCCTCCCACGCCTGGTCCCACGGCACCAGCATGGGCATCACCCACAGCTGGTCAGACATGTCGGTTCCCGGGCCGACTCTCGCCACTGAACCAGAATTCCTGGGGGTGGGAAACTGTTTTAATTAGCCCTCAGGTGTTATTATGGAAGTTAAATTTGTGAGCCATAGCCTTAGGTTGACGAGGCCACCTTCTGGTCAGGATCCCAGGAGGACTTTGAGCTGGGACAGGAGAGACGCCCTCCTGGGAAACTGAAGGGGAGTCTCAGGTGGGGCGGTCGGGCCTCACTTTCCCAGCAGCTGAATCCAAATCCTGTGTGTGGTTTCTAAGCCCTGAGATGATGTCAAGGTCTTAAAGAGAGCTCAGGAAGTCCACACTCCAACTCAGAGACAAGCCACTTTGGAGTGCCCTTGAAAGCCAGCTCCCTCCTTTATCTCTGAATGTGGTCTGAGAAAACAAAACAGGCATGACATCCATTTTCCGAATTGTCTGCAGGGAGACTCAGGCACATGTGCACCAATGTTCTTGGCAGCCCTTCTCACAATCGCCAAAAGATGGAATCCACCTAACTGCCCGTCAGCAGATGAATGGATGAACGATATGTGCTACAGACAAGGATGCGTTCAGCCACACAGAGGGCCGGAGTTTTGATGGCTGCCTCAAGGGTGCACCTGGAGCACATCATGCTGAGGGGAGTAAGTCAGACGCCAAAGGACAGAAGTCGGGAGATACTACTTATCAACCACAAATATTTAAAGAAGGAAGAGAGAAGTAACTAGGGCCTGGAGGGGGAAATGAGGACTTATTGCTTTGTGGACACAGAAGTGTTAAAAAAAGATTTTGAAGATAAAAAGTGCTGTGGGGGAAAAAAGGGGCTGCAGAGAATACTGGAAAAGAAGCAGATTGAAAGCACTGTGTTTTTTTCAGGGTATAAGATGTACAGGTTTTTTTTTTTCCTGTCCAAGATGTACAGTTTTATGAGAAATCAGCTCACATGTCAGAATGTAGGCCGCCTCCCTTTCGGTGCAGGAGCATGCTCGCAGAGGGACAGACACAGCCCTCCTGAAAGGACGGCTATTGTCTGGTCCTGTTTCTATGAACTGTAGAGACTAGGTGAAGGTGTGGAAACCAAAATCTATTTGTGGTTAGCAGGGTGGGAGGGAGGAAGGCAGGGCCACTGCTCACGGGACACTGAGTTTCTGCTCATGGCGGTGGGATGATGGGCGGAAACATGGCGGTGATGGCCGCACCTCATCATGAAAGTAATGTCACTGAACTGCGCTGGTAACAAAGATGGTAAAGTGGCAAATGTTTTGTTATTTGGACCACAATTAAAAAGCATTTTTTAAACTAAAACATTCTCCTGTATGTCAAGTCACATCTTTAAAAGTATCAGAAATATAAACCAAATTTCCAACTATATCACTGAGAGGATTATAAGGGCTGAATTCTTTTATAAAAGGGACCACATGCCATCTCCTTGAATTCCTTTGTAATGATAGATTTTTGAAGACTGCTCACCTAAATGCATCCAAGCCACAGGGGCAAATGGCGCCTATATCCCTGGGCTTGGGGCGTCGCTCAGCTGCTGAGGGAAGGAGGCCTGGAGATAGCGCCTCTCCGGGGCGAAGGCCATGGGGACAGCAGACCTCAGGATTTCCACTCAGACACACGGTATCATCAGTCCCTCTTCCAGGGGGAGAGGCAGAGCAACAGCTGGTTTGACACACATAGGAAACGGAGCTCAGCCGTAATGTCACCCTTGACTCCTGTCACTCAGGGAACTGTCTTAGGGACGGCTGGGTGCGAGGAAGGTACTTAGGAAGGAAGGCCAAGCCACATTGCCATGGTCTTCACTTCTTTCCCCAGATAAGAAAATTTAAACGGGCCTTGTGCCACCCAGTCCATTCCAACTCATAGCAGCCCTGTGGGACTGTAACTTTCCACATGACTAGAAAGCCCTGTCTTTCTCTTGTGGAGCAGTTGGTGGTTTCGAACTGCTGACCTTTCGATTTGCAGCCCAATATGTAACCACTAAGCTGCCAGGGCTCCTTGCTAATATGCTCATTGATGCCACCGACTCCTATCTGGGTTGTTTTCATTTGCTAAGGTGGTTTGAACTTGCAGGTGTGGCTAGGAAGAGGTTCACCTTATCTCAGAGTAATTCCTCCAGAAGAGTAATGGTGAAGGGTGGGGACACAAGAGCACGACAGCTGTCAGCAGAGTGACTCTCTGGGTTCCCAGGACTGCTGATATATCATCTGTGCTACCAATTTGCAGCAACACATGGTATATGATTTTATTAGGACAACCCTACCCCCCTTGATTTACACCAGGGAAGGTTTGAATCGCCAGATATAACTGGCCAGCCAGAATGGCAAGGGAAGCCAAGGTAACACACTCCAGAGTAGTGACTTCCCTGTGATTGCAATTTCAGTTGCTGCCTTAATGGTCATGACCAGGAAGTTTGGGGGTGGGGCGGACAGGGAGTGGGGAGGAAGGGGCAATGGGAACACTGCAGCCCCTTGCACCAAGCACCACTGTGCCTGCGGGGCAGCGAATTATTTACTGTGGCTTTTCTAGCCCAAGGCTCTACCTCCTACCGAACAGCCTTTCCTTGCGTGGGTCTGGTCAGAAGATGGGGAAAGACACTGATAGGACTCATCTGTGATTAACTATATGGATCCTGCCCATGGTGCCCTAGCAGGGCGCCAGAGAATGAAATCAACTCCATAATAAGGTGAGGTGCACAGAATGACGGCATGCACGGTGTAGTGGGGGTGCAGAACAGAAACTCCTCAGACTGGCTGCTGGGGGGTGGGGGACAGATCAGAAAGGCTCCTCATATGAAATATTAAAGCAGAGATCCTGAAGGATGGAAGGTAAAAGCACTATCCAGATAGGTGGTAGGTGGTTTGCAAGCTCTAAGGGATAGGGGGCAGGGGGGTGGGGGCGGCGTGTTAAGGCCCAGAGGTGGGGGAGAAGGGCTCACTGAAGTGCTGTATGTCTGGAGTCTGGTGTATTGACATACAATGCCTGGTTCTCTAGAAAAACAGGACACATTGTGCTATGCTGTGGGCTTCAATGAGGCTGGGGGTCAGGTCCAAAGGGGCCTTGCAATCCAAGCTGATGTTACACTTTATGTGAATGGTGGAAAAACTGGAATAACCCAGAACCTTTCTAGGACTCCTTAACCTCCTTATCTGTAAAACGTGAATGGAGTAAGATGGCCAGGTTTCCTTCTATGGACAGAGGTAGGCGTTTGAATCCTATAGCTATTCAGGAGCTACCTTGTGAAGGGTCCTTAGCAGTCTTAGGAAGAGTTCATGGTACAAACAATGGCTTCAGGTTGAGTGCCTGCTCTGCCCTCAAACTATCTTTGAGTAACGCCCCACTGCCTTTTCCTCTGTCTAGTCCTCTGAGGACAGGAAGGATCAGTAACCGAGCCAGGACAAGGAGGGATAGCACAAGGTGAGCTGTGGTTGAGCAGATGCTCAGAGCCGGTGCGTCTGAGCTAAGTCTTAGTCGTTCCCAGATGGCAAGAGACTTGTAGGATTGGATAGGATGGGAGAATTCCCTAGAGACACACAGGGCTGTACATGGGAATGTGGAACAAGACTCCTGATACTGGATTGGCAAATCCTAAATTAAACGATGTTCTGGGACATTTATTTTGAGCAGCTTGTATTCTTTCCAGTATCACAGTCGATTTCAAAATTAAATTTGGAGAAACTGAAGAATGTTACATATGAGGCTCTCTGCCTTGCCTCTTCTCTGACTCCAGGCAGCGTCGCTGGCGGGCTCCCGCCCACTCACTTTAAGAAGCCTCAGGAAGGTACAATTTTCTCATCCCCGCATGACACAGGAAACCCCAGCCCCTATCATGCTGATAACTTCAGAAACGCTTAGAAATATCAGCTAAAATGAACGCCTCCTTCAAATGTTCAGCACAACTTGATCCTGCATGTAGGTCCTTTGTTTTGCTCTCCTTGTGCTTAAAGCGGCAAGGAAGGAAGATGTGATTGCTCCCTTACTAAACTCGACTCTAGTGTTGGGTCGCTGCAACTGCTAGCAGCCCGCAAGTGACAGCATAGACCACGACTGTTCCTAGGAGCAGCCGGCCTTGTCTTTAGCCCACAGAGTGACTGTGGGTTGGCATTGCCAGCCTTTTAGCTAGCAGTCTAACCCTGAACCTGCAGTGCCATTACGGCTCTCTTCTTTCCCTGAATTTCCCCTCCATAGCCATTCCTCCAGAGTGCTGAGGCACCGAATGAGGAGAAGGGCCAAAGAAGGAAGGCAGGGAAGAATGGTGGGAAGGAGGAGGGACCGAGGCAGAGAAGGAAAGGAAGAGGAGTGCGGAGGGGAAGGGATGATACGGAAGGGTGCCAGCGAAGGCCTTATGGAGGGAAGGTGGAGCATTTGACTCTAGTCCTCTGGCACCAGCGAGGGTGAGCCTCTAGCTGCTCCTTCTGGGGAGCGAGGACAATGGGGAGCCTGCACCACATGTGCTAAAGTACACACCAAACGCAAACCAGGCTCGTTGCCGTCGAGTCGATGCTGACTCCTTCACAACCCTGAATGGAAGGCAGAATGCATTTCAGAAGGCAATCCCAATCTCCAATATTCCTTTTGAAACCTAGTTCAATTTGCGAACCCTGTCTCCTCACACCTGCCTTCCTCCAGGAAGACAACCTGAGTATCCCCAACCCTGTATGTGGCCAGGATGCCCAGGGCCATCCGTACTCCTCATGACTTGTCTCAAAGGAGAAGCCTGAAGGAATGTGCCGGGGAATCACTTTTGCTACCAGACATACCTTGCTGAGAAGCAAGAGAACATAATTAAGCTACAGGCACAGGTACCTAAGTGAGAGTGTGCAGGTTCAGAGCCCAGCCTGACCCTTACAGCTGTGTGACCTTGGGCAAATTACTAAGCCTCTCTGTGCTTCAGATTCCCAGGCTACCCAAGGAAAGGACAGTAGCACCTGCCTGTTAAGGGCTTGATGATGAAGTGAGTTCACACAGGTGAACAGCACACAGAACATTGTCTAGCCCCCAGAGTGCTGTGTAGTCCAGACCGTGGACCCCACAGGACCCCACTGTAGTAGACCTCAGCCTCTCGGGAGAGGGGCGTACTCCAGGGATAAGAAGAGGGCACTCGTTGGGGGGGGGGGCGAGGAGGAGACACTACCCTGGATGTGTTGGGTCTTTCCTGGAAAATTTGTGAGTCAAATCCTGTACTTTGCAGAGGAGAGGGCAAACGCCTGGGGAGTGTGTGCAGTCTGACCCCCTGCTGTACAGTTAGGGAGGGGAAGGTGAGGCTTGCAAGCTCACACCTGGCCCCTGAACTCCTTGCCACTGTTTGTCTCACAGAGGAAACATGCCAATGAGCCCTTTACTCTATGTTTAGCTTGGCTAATTATGCCAGTGGTTTATTCATGCCCTTCCTGAGACCGTGTGGGTAATCGGGCAGTTTCATTACAAGGTAGCAAACACTTAATAATTATTCAGATGCTTTGAAATTCATGTGCACAGATGCACTTTCTAGACCGTGGGTGCAGGGGAAAGCATCTTGGGCCAACATTGATCCTTTTGGTGGGGGTGGGTTGGGAGAGCTGGGAGGAGCAGGGGTATGTGCGAGGGAGAACTCTGACAAAAACTTATTTAAATGAATATAATATGGCTCTAATTTGATTAGATGCTCAATCATCAAAGCAGAGAGCTTAGATGTAAGCCCACCTGTATTTTGAGGTTCAACCAGAGGGCAACTTAAGCGTTCGAAACGGGAGCCTTTGCAGATCCCATAGGCATGGTAGAAGCTGGCTAGGTGTGTGCTTCCAGCACCCCAGGTTCAACTAGTGTCTCTTCCCCCATGTCATTTTGAGTTCCATAGATACTTAATTTGTATCTGTTTGTTTGCGGAGCACACAGGATAGCTCAGGGGTTATGAAGTAACTCTGTTAACATTGATCTTGACGGAACTCCAGCAGCGGACAGAAAGAATGCTGGAATGTTCCCCTTCAAATAGAAAATCAGGACATGCCACTACTTTGTGCAAGAAGCTGCAATGGCCCCAATTTCTCTCTGAAAATAGGCCCCAATTTTTCCAGTGGCCACAAGGTCTATGTGACCTAGACCTGTGCAGCACTGGACCACCTCCCCTTCTTCCTCCGTGGGGGCTCTAATCGCACTGTCCTGCAGCCCCTTGGCCAAGGCAGGTGAGCTCGTGCCTTAGGGCACTGCCACACGGCTGAGTCTCTCACTGCGTGCCCATCTGAGGTTCTAAAAGAGAACCCCATTTAAGCATGTAGTCTGACCTTCCCTGCCATCCGTCCCCCCAATGCTCACTGCCCTAGGACTCTGCATCTTCTTGTCTCCCCGACTTGGGTATCTTTCTAACCTACTATGGATGCGCTCACGGATTCTGTGAGTGTTCAATCCCTGCTCCCCCCTCTCCGGAAGGGACTTCCACAAGGGCGGAGGGAGCCCTGTCTGCCTTGTTGGGGGAGGAATCCAGAGCCAGAGCTAAGGGGCAGCTGGTGACTGAAGGAGAGAAGTGCTGCAGGATGGCGACCTAGGGCGTGATTTCTCTTGCTCTTCCCTCCCGGCAGCCAGCTCGGTGAGATTCGCTCCCTTTCACTCGCTCTGGGAGTGAGTGGTTCTGTGCCTTCCCCTTGGCCTTGGGAGAAGGCTGAAGTGCCCCGTCAAGCCCCATGGACACTGCCCTGGGCTTCTGCTCGTGGGTTCCATCTCGGGGCCCCACTGAGGGCCCGAGCACAGCCCTTCTCCCGGGGCCTGCTCCGGGAGCAGGTGTCAGCACGGGGCAGGTTCACCAGCGGACTGATCCTCAGCCAGCGGCCAAGCAGGGCCACTCTGCACACTCCTTCCTGGTCTAGAGCAGGCGCCCCGGGGTCTGCACACCAGGGGCCAGTCCAGAAGTGGTGCATTCTGCAGCCCAGCTCGAGGGGCTGCAGCAGCCAGGGACGCCACTGTGGACAACAGGCTCTCCACCTTCCGGGGCCTACAACTTGCTAGCACCTCCAACCCAAGGTGGGTGAAGGTAAAACCCAAGTCAGTGGGCACAGCACTGTTCCTCTGCTGCCCCAGTGAAGGATTCTCCGCAACTCAGGGCAGACAAACAGCTTTGATTCCCTTTACTCCCGCTATCTTTTACCCCCACGACTACATAAACGTGCTGGCTGCAAACTAGGACCCAGGCAGATAAAAGGAGCCGTGTATTTCATTTGGAAAAAAAAAAAAGTTTTTTTTGGTTTTGTTTTGTTTCAGTTTTGCCCATCAACTTCTGGCTGAGCCCATGACCTCATCTCTGAAGACTCGAAGTGTTAATAGCCCATAATTACTTAATCATTCCAGCTCAGCCGTTTTGTTCTCTGCTCTACGTGCTAGATAAACACATGCGTTGTTTACGAAGGAGATAGCTCAAAATGTGCAGTAAACCTCAAACCAAAATGTGCAGTAAACCCAAAACAATTTGGGAATTTCTTAATAGTGATAAATGTTTTTACAGTTAAAGGGTCAAGGAATGAGGGGGCAGGGTTTGAAAATTTTAGAAAACAGTTTCTTTCCCAAGGTCTGTGTGTTCAGAAAGTCACGTTTAAATTTTTCATGTAAACTCAAGTTTTGGGTGTTGCCCTTAAAACCAATGTGCTTACCGAGCTAGACATTCTCACCCAGCCTGCTAGCCTGCTGGTAGGTAGGCCTTGCATACGCTGCACCCTTAACCAAGGCCTCCAACCCATTTTGGTTGAGAACTTGGTTTCTGTTGGGGCCAAGGGTGCCTTGTGTATCAGGCAGAACTGAACAGTCACGTTAGGGCGTTCTCGGCCCAGAGGTGGGTGGGGATAGAAGGGACACAGGAGTGTGTAGGAGATAAACCTTCGTGTGACAAAGGCAGAGAGGCCCCGCAGGAGTCTGCAGTGTACAGTCCTTCAGCACCAACCAAGGAGGCCTTTCCTCCTGACGCTGTGGAGCTGGCAGGGCCAGCCAAGCAAATGAGGCCTCACTGCAAAGGCAACGGCATCTTCTTGAGGATGAACAATCTAAAACCAAGGGCTCTAAGCTCTGACTCAGGACACGTGGGCACAGGGAGAAAACAATGGGAAGAGAGTTTAAACCCTGCAACCCTCCACCGGAAAGTCACTGGGTGTGAAATAAAAATATTCACATTATTTCTCTATGTGAAAACAAACAAATATATTGGGGCCAGGGGTGGGGTGGCAACCCAAACAAATAAAGGCGGAACATGGCTTTGGACAGAAAAAACATCAAAAACAAAGGAACCGCCCTCACTTGCATCCCCAAGGCAGCACCTACCTTGAAGGGAGGCCTGCAGGTCTTTCATGTTTTGGTCCAGCAGCTGGGAAGGGAGGAAGCCCGCCCCCGCCTGGGTCTTGGGCTCCGGTTCTTCGGGGGCCGCAGCGGGAGCTGGCTCTCTCAGCCGGCTGTCTCCAAAGACAGCAGCCCACTCTTGGCTAAACTCGCCCTCATCCAGAGCAGAGGCGTTGAAGATCTCGCTCAGCAGCAGCAGGTCGTCTTTGTCAGCACCTTCTGGTTCCACTGCCCCGGCCGTGGGGCTCAGGCACGCTGATTAAAGTAACGGCACAAAACATCATCACAGAGGTTCCATACCACGTGGAAACCCACGCTACGGAGGGCTGGCCGGGAGCAGGCAGACTGGGCGATGGCCAGATTTAGGGGAAATGGATGGAAATAGAAATTCGCCTCGTGGTGGGCCTCTCAAATGGATGTGAGAATGACATTTCTAGCCCCGTTCTCCCTTAGCCCTCTTCCGCAGAGGAAGCTCTGCTTCTTTCAACACTTGCCACAGACACTCGAGGGTTTGGCTTTTCCTTAAAGTAAAGAGTGGGTTTACCCAAAGGTTTCTTTCAGACAGGAAACGGAAGTCAGGATTGAAAGCACGCTGGAGATTGTAGTTCCTTGTCTGAATGGCTTCCTGAATCCCCACTCACAAGGAGCCCTCGATCCACCTTGCCTGGGCTAGACCCACCAACCAGCACACCAGGTGGCGGCCTGCCGGGGGTGGGTGGGGGATGCTTACCACCCCTGACCGGCCCAGGTGAGCAAGGGGAGCAGGGTGTCAAGCCAAGAAACCGGCTTGACCAAGAAAGGCACCCTAGTTTCTTTCTCCACGGCCGAGCTACAAGGCGGCCCAGTGTGGAGAAAGCCGGGCCTGGTTTTCCCGCAGGCAGAACGTGAGAGCTGAAGTGGGTCCTGGGGCCATGCAGAATGGATCCACTGACAAACTAGAGCGCACTGGACAGAGCGGAGCACGGCCCCTTACTTGAGCAGCACCTTAATAGGCCTTGAACCCTCTAAGCCTGATTGCTCGTCTATCAAGCTATTCTATTGATAATGCCCACCTCAGGAAGACCCAAAAACAAACAGATAAAGCCCCTTACACCTGCCACTGATCCAGAAGGAGCGTCTTCGAGGACTACCCTCGCACTGTCCACACTGGAAACACACTCAATGTGGAATACAAGTTGCAGGGGTGCATGCCTGTCAGAAATCACACCCCACGGTCTTTCAGTGAGTTCTCAACCTGTTTTGAGAGCTCAGGCAGACTTTAACTGTGACTTACTGTGGTATTTGCTCATCTCTAGAAAATGCCACTTTGCTCTAGACGATGAAGAGACAGAAAAGAGGTGTTTTTGTTTTTGTTCCCTGAACGGCACTGTGATCCTAACACTGACATATTAAGTGAATCAACAGGTTTTTCATAGATGTGTGGTAATTAATGAGAGCTTTTTAAAATTAATAAAGCTTACCTCTGTCGACTTTTTTTGGATCTGTTTTCGAGCACACTTTATATACAGATCTAGAGATTAAGGGGGCTTTGATGTGCTGAGCAGTCTGGATAGAAATCAGGGGGTGCTGGAGATGAGACACCCTCCTATCGCTGTGCTTTAAGTATGTAGCAAACCCTGCTTTAATCGGACAACCGTCTAATTTTAAGTACTCGCATTGTTTTTGTTATCATAGACCTCTTCACCGAGACCTGGCCTGGAGGTGTGGGGGTGAGAGGATGTGGAGGTGTGGGGGTGAGAGGATGAGGAAAGGGCATTTGGAACAAGTTTCTGAGATGGTTCTGTAGGACCAGGATGCCAGGAACCACTCCAAGCCGGTAATGGGGGCCAAGCAGGCGAGGCAAGAAAAGAAGGCGCCTGAAGCTGGCCGTGTCTCAGTTTGTCCATCAATGCCTGTGTCTCTGCACCCTCTTCTCTTGGAATCATCCTAATCTCGCTACTTCTCCTTTGAGTTGCGACTTGAATGGCTAAAAGCCTTCTCGTGGCTCCTGCCCGTTCAGAAACCTGATGACTGCTGAGCCAAATGTATTCACTGGAACCAACTCAACTCCCGGGGTACACCCTAGAAGAAGAGATGACTTTTGATGAGTGTTGGAAATGATGCGTACTTCTCCTACAGTCACTTTGTGCAGCACTCTGCTAAATCAAACCTGAGGGGAAGAGGCCCAGCTTTAATCTCAAAATCCGTCTAGGGAAGATCATGACTAACATGCACAACAACAAACACATGCTAACCCTTCGAGAGCAGCCACTGTCCAGAAGAGCTCTGTCTGCCTGCATGCTGTTGGGGTTTGGCCTTGGGTATTTGTAGTGGCTTCAGGTGGTTTTACCTAATCCACATCCCTCGTCTTCAGTTTTCTCACTGGGGACAGAGCTCCTCCAAACTAGTCTTGGGAGTCTTAAGATGTCTACCACCCTACCTCAAGTGGACCTGTCGCTGAGGCTGGCCAGAGTCCTCCCTCTCCCAGACCCTGGGGAACATGTGGCTGAAGTTTATCGTATGGAAATTGGAAGATGATCTCTCCCCCTCTCTGGGACTCTTAAGTTCTCAAGGTGCTGGTGTGAGGCTGTGGTGACAATGAAACTAGCACACGAGGGAAACCGCATGAAGAGTTGGCTGGAGAGAGAAGACACAGCCTAAAGAAACCCCTGCATCTTACCTGGCTGGAAAGCAACCCCCTACTGAGGAGTCCCGATAAGCTGGACCAATACATTTCTTAAGCTTCAAACGTAAACTATCTAAAGAAGTGCCTATTTCACTTGCAACGACAGAAATGTATTGATCAATATCTTATCACAGGCAAATAAATGGTGAGGGAAATGCCGAAAAAGGACCGTGGTGAGGAGGACACCTGTTAGTCAGCTTGAGCAGAGAGTTTGCTGGGACCAGCCCTGGTGGTGGTGTAGTTACAAAGTCGGTGGTTCAAGAGCACCAGCTGCTCCGAGGGAGAAAGATGGGCTTTCAACTCCCCGTCAACAGTTACAGGCTCAGAAACCCCAGGGGGCACTGCGACGAGTCAGCGTCGACTGGACGGCAGTGAGAAAATCTCCCTTTGAGTCTGCCCCAGGGCCTCGTGTGCTGGTTCTGTAACAGTTAAACCATATTGCACAGTGAACAGTTTCTCTCTTTTTTTTAAAGAGAAGTTAGTACTTTAGCTAAAAGCAACGAAACTGGCACCGACTTGAACCAGAAAACAGGGAAACCTCGCAATTATTGCACTGACAATTAACATGCTTGGAATGACTACAGAACTTGCAAGAAAAACTTAATTACAAGCAGAAAAGGACAGGCTTGGGTCTGAAACCAAGCAAGTTGAGACTTGAGAAATAACATTAGTCAGTCGGCTCTTACAAATCATGCTATCACTTTCTTTGGAAACAATTCAACTCAGCTGAAAGAACACGGGGACCCACACGGAGAGATGTGGAGATGTGGAGCGCTCTTGAAGAGAAGCCAACCCACAGCTGGAGCCGGGGCCTCCTCTGCCTGGAGCTATAAACAAGTGCTGTGACTTGGGTCGCAGTGCTACCGTCCGCTGTATCTTCAACGATGAACAGAGGCTGGGAGCTCCGCTCAAATCTGCAGATGCTATTCCAAGACCCCAGTGCCTCATTTTCCGGCGTGTTGTGCTAGCACGTTGACTCTTGTATCTGATAACACTAACACCATCTACCCTGTTTCCCCGATAATAAGACAGTGTCTTATATTAATTTTTGCTCCCAAAGATGCGGTAGGTCTTATTTTCAGGGGATGTCTTATTTTTCCATGAAGGATACGGTCCACATTTATTGTTTACTGTTTTATGAAAAGAGACCTCACACTTCCTGTCTGCTCCGGCTGTGCTGCGGCGCCCGCCGCTATGGTCCTGAGTCCAGAGTTATGGTAGCTTTGGGGGGCCTTATTTTCGGGGGATGCCTTATATTTCAGCGAGAGGCAAAACTGTAAGTAGGTCTTATTTTCTGGGGATGTCTTACTTTTGGGGAAACAGGGTAAGAAACTTTTTTCATTAGGCATGATTTCCTCAAATGGTCACCTCTCTACCTCCAATCCTATGATGCTACATGCATCTTCTCTCCCACCCTAAAAGTTGCTCTCTCAGCCCCAACGGTAGTCTTCCCCTTCTGAAGGCTTCCTCCTTTGACCTCAGAAGACATGTGCACAACCCAGCAATAATCAAATATTCCCTTGACATTGCTCTATCTTTTCAAGCTACTATTTTAGTTTCTTTTCTCCTTCCACAGCCAGCCAGACCCTCTCCTTTGCTGCCTGCCATTCTGTTTTCAGCTGCCTGTCGTCAAGGTTTTGCCCCTACCCTATTCTGAAATGGCTCTCTGGAAGGACTGTGTGTGACATCCCCCTGGCCCAATCCGCTCCCCTTTTCTCAGGCCTCAACCCCTGCAGTATTTTGTGCTGTCGCCTTGATTGGATTTACCGTATATACTCGTGTATAGGTCGAGTTTTTCCAGCACATTTTTAATGCTGTTTTTGTGGTAAAATTAGTGCCTCTGCTGATATTCAGGTCTGCTTATACTCAAGTATATATGGTACTGCCATCTCCAGGTTCCCCTGCGGGTGGCATTCCTCCTGCTCTCCCTATATCCTCTATCGAAGATCTTACCTCTCCAATCTCTATGTCCAACTCCAGGTTCCTTACTGAACGCTCATAAGAAATTCCTGACTCAGGGCCCTCAATGGGGGTGCCCGGGGGTGAGGCTGCTGGCCACCTGACTGTGCACCTGTACCTCACACAGCTATGAGGTTTTACTCCCGTACTCAAACCTTTTAATGCCTCCCCTAACCAATGGCGAAGGTAAAACTCGACAGTGGTGCTCAGCACCGCTCTGCCCAAGCTTTCATGGGATCCATTCAGCGACCTATCACTACTGCCTTTTCAGCAGCTTACAATTCAGTCAAACTTCTATCTTTTCCTTTTCTTAAAACCACTTTTCTATCTCCTGTCAGGCAAACTGCTGTTTGTCTCCCAGTGAGATGCCCTGAGAGAAGGCAGCTGAGAGGGAGCTTAGACATCAGCCTCTCTAACTCCTTTTCCACAGAAGGGAAAAGCCACTCATCTAACCTGAGCCGCGGGAGCCTAAGATCCCTGAAGTTTGGAGATCCATCGGAGGTCGTATCATTAGTTAGGCGTCGTCTGGTTGGAGAGCCCCTACTCATAGGCCAAGGCGTTTTCTTATTGCAGCAGTCTGTTTTCACTTCAAGACTTCTCATAGGCTAAACTGTGTCCCCTACAAATGATAGGCTCTTGTCTCTGAATATGACCCTCGTACTGGTGGACAGGACTCTCTGGGCAAGGGTTTTTGAAATATTAACACCAGGCCAGCCCAGAGGATGAGGGATACTTTTCTCTTATGAAGTATGCCTTATACAAAGAGGACAGACACAAAAGGAAGATGCCATTGAAGGCCACAAACCACAGAAGGCCAAGGATTATGGGGAGCCACCAAAAGCTAGGAATGTGGCAGTGAACTGAGTCCCCCTTCAGCGCCCTCAAGAAAAGTAACCAACGTGGCCAACATCTGATGTGGAGCCCTCTCCTCTAGGACTGAGACAACACATGCATTCTTTCATGCTGCCCGCCCTTTGACGTACTGCCTTCTAGCAGTCCCTGAGAGCCAGCAGAGCCTATTAAGGCTCGCACCTGTAAGCGAACGTGTACACGTTTGCACAGTTCTGAGGGTTGTGATGGGCAGGCGGTTCCACGGGCAGCCAGGCAAAAATCCTGGCTGGAGGCACCGAGGAGGAGTGGTTGAGATGGTGGGATCCCGCAGCATGTCTGCCCTGCACTGCCAAGGGCTTTCCAATGGTTGGAACGTGCCCCTGCTCCAGGCACAACATTCCCTCGGACAACTGATCCTGAACCAGAGGCTGTAGCTGTGAGAAGCCTGGCTGAGGCAGTGTGAGCCACAGGAAGCCCACGTGTGAAACTGACGCGAGGCAGCTCAGGTGAGACTTTCGCAGTCATACTGAGCGTCATGGCCTCCGCACGAATCAGGGGCACAAAATGGAAACATAACTTCATAAACCAAAAAAAAGGGCACAGAAAAACAAACAGCTAAACGACACCTGCTTGACCTCCATCTGATGTGAAACAGGAAGACTGTTTCTCTGGTGCCCGCTCTTGACGGCATGACTCACTGCAGAGGCCGCGTATTAACAATACTGATGCAAAACCCCAAACCCCGAGCCTCTCCTCACACCACCCGAAAGAAGGTATGGGGAAAGAAGGGCAGGAAACCACCTTCCAGAAACGTCTAACAAAAAAGTAGAGTCTTCATTACCAAAGGCTCTGGTAGAAAGAAAAATGTAGATAATTAGAAATGAACGAATACTGCTAAAAACTCGTCTGATAAGAAGGGGACCTAGGTGATAATAATAGCTGGGGGGAAAACCACCCCTGACTCACTCCCCAAACAGAATATGAAAACATTTAAAACCAAGCAAACAAGAGTGCCAGCGCATGGCAGCTCACTCCGAGATGACACGAGGGACCGCAAGCCAAGCACGGCTGCTCCTCCCGTTCAGAATCCAGGCTGTCTTATGGGAAAACCAGCAGACCTGGTGGTAAGTCCTTTTCGAAATGGACTACTACTGGGTACCTGGTGATCACGTGACAATAGTATTGGATTTTTAAAAGTAGGAACATTTGTGAGAGAGCCAAACCAGCAGTACATCCAGGGGCCCTGAGGAAGACAGGGAGGAGGAGCTTAGTATTTACCATACTGTACTGAGGAAGCATAAGACCCCTGGAGACCAGCTGCGAGGCAGCTCATTCTGACTCACAGCGACCCCTGTATGTCAGAGTAGAACTGAGCACTGTAGGAGTTTCAGGGGCTGAGTTTTTGGTAGTCGACTGCCAGACTTTTATCTCCGGTGTCTCTAGCTGCCAGCTGCATGAACCCATTGCCCCATCCAAGGTGCCCACGGAAGCCCTGTCAGTCACAGAGGAGTAGCCACAGGGCACGATGCCGGTGCAAAGAGAGAAATGCACACTCGGATGATCACCAACGGCTATGGGCCTCACCCAGACCTCTGGCAGTTCCTGAATAAACTTCTGAGTCATTCGGACATGTATCCACAGTTTAGAACCACAAAGTCCAGAACAAATCAAGGAAGTAGCAGAAGACCGGCAAAAAGAGAGAAAGTAATACAGATCATTCATTTTTTTCTCTTTCAATTGAGGAGCCTTTTGGGTAAAGCCAAACTCTAAGATCTAGGTGAGCTGACATTCATTTAACTCTTTTCTGTTTTATACCACTGCTATCTTTGGGCCATTATCTGCTGGTTGTTTTCTGTGGTGCAATTCCGGTCAACACAAAGATGTCCACTAGTTATAATTCATGAGCTGAGGTCGGATCACTGCATGTGGTCCAAAGGTGGTTTCCCAGCCACTTTCAAGCATCTCAAAATGTCACTAAGCTGCTTTTTCACGTCGAACATTTTGGAAACCGTGGTCAGATTCTGGTTTTCCATTTCGTGACCTACTGAGTAGGCAGCACACATTGCTCTATGACACGGACTTAGAGAGTGTCCCTGGACCACGGCTCCTGCCACTGCTTCCACGATGCTCCAGCTCAGCGATTACTCTTCAAACGGAATTACCACTGGGAGTAGACTGCCCCGGCGGGGCAGCAGGGTGCGAGAGTTTGTAACCCCCAAGTCCTATAAAATCAGCCATCCCTGGATTAAGTGCTGTCTCTCTTTTTCAATTTCCTGGCTGTTTAATGCTGTGCGTATTCTAATCAGTGTTTTAATTCAAGATTGGGCCTTCGGAAGTTTTCCAAAGGGCACACATTTTGGAGCCAACAAATTCATGAGTGCTCTGTTCTTTAGTCACCCCACTTATATATTATCATCTTTGTTTCACTTCAGTCAGATTTAAATGTTCCCTCCTCTAAAAAATATTGTTTTAAAGATGCATTGATTCCATAAAGGTCCTATCTATAAGCCAAAGAAGAAAAGTTTTTTCTCTTTTTTTAAACTGACACTTGAGCGCATGTGTGACGATGTGCACTAATTACTTATTATTCTCCTGCTACTGATAAAGATGGTTTTAATATTTACAAATGAGTGTTCGTTCTGATAAAACACATAGCTATTAATGAAATATTTCAGTGTGCAGCTTAGAGTAAGAAATGAATATGGAGAGAGCATTTTTACCCTCGAGGATCCCTACGCCCTAGATGTGCAATACCAAGTTGTGGTGCCTTTCCATCCATTGCACACACACACACTCACTCACTCCTTTAACCAGTGCCTTCTGTTTTCCAGAACCTATCTTTGTCTCATGCACTGGAAATTAAATCCTAGTCAAGCTCAGGGAGGACTGAGAGCGTCCCTTGTTCCTGGGGCCCACCGGATCTCCCTGGCTGACTTCTGGTCCCACTATAACTCTGTCAGACCCCGACTGACTGCAGCCCAGCCACTAGGGCAAGGGATGCTCTAGGGTTTAGTTCAGAATCTGCAGAGCTTTGGGGACTCATGGTAAATCAGGAGCGGGAAGCCCTTTGTCGTGGGGAGGACATAGCCCATGATCAGGCTAAACAGACTCTTGGGATTGCTTAGGACTGATTGTGTACGATTTTATCTAAATCCATGGTTCTGGATTCTCTTCTGGGGAGTGCTTTATTGGGTCGAATAAATTAAGGTGAGGGAGATGGCCAGGCAAACTTTCCCCTTGCGTTTAACCAATATCCAGTGGTTGTGTATCACAGAATGCCACAAGGGCAACATCCTAGTTCTACCATTTAAAGACTTTCTCTGTGTCTGAGCCAATGAAAACCCCTTTGCCTGTATAGTCCTCCATCCTAACAGTCCTCCACCAAGAAGACTGTCACTGAATCCATGAGAATAACTGAGGCTAGAGGGTTGAAGTGTGAGTAAGACCTAAGGCCACAGAGGCTAGTCACAGCAGAACTGGGATTCACATCCCGGTCTGTCGGAGGACTGGAAGGCGCCAGGTGTTACCCTACAGCATGTGGCTGCAACATAACGACCTTTTGCTTTAATCCGGCATTGATTTCGTTCGTTAGACATTTTAGTTTAAGCATTATAAAATGAATCACACTAAAGACAGCAGGTCCACACAGACTAAATTGTACTTGTGCTCATTGTAGATCATGTATAAAGACAGATGGCCCAAAGAAACAAAACTCAACTGCCATTGAGTGGATTCAAAGCAACCCTACAGGACAGGCTAGAACTGCCCCTGTGAGTTTCTGAGACTGCACTCTTTATGGGGAATACAAAGTCCCGTCTGTCTCAACGGAGTGGCTGGTGGTTTTGAAGTGCTGACCTTTTGGATCATAGCCCAATTCGTAACCACTAAGCCACTAGGGCAATCACCTGAAAATAATTTGCATAGAAATGCAAAGCTATATGAAATATTAACATTAGGTTGGCTCTTTTTAACTGAGTGTAGAAATGAGTTAAACAATTTAAGTAACATTTGTAACCCCCGAGAAATGCATAAATCTTACCAGCATCCCCCGGTTTCATGTCTAGTAGCTCATCCACTCGTCCTTGAGGGGTAGGGGAGAAAACAACAGTAAGGGTCAGTTTCCCTTCACACTGAATTTGCTTCAAATCATTCAGGTTGAGTAGTTTTCCTTAAATCTAGATTACCTGAGCATGCATTATGTGTAGAGTTTTTGTCTACAGCAGATAAATACTTTTCCCCTTTCAGCTGTAAACAACATGGGTAAATGGCTATGCCAGTTCCAATGGCGCATGCATTCATGCACTAGCGCCATGCAAGGTACACACACAGCTGTGGTACCCACAAATTCACTCGGGGAGCAGGGTCCTCAGGCCACACTCAACTGCAGCTGGTGGCTCTTAGCGATTTTTACTGGATTAAACAGTCTTGAATCTTTGATAGGTTCTGTAGCGAACACGGAACCTAGATGACACCAATCTAACAGTTCCTCTCACATGGCCCATGGATGACTTACGCCAGGGGTGTCAAATCGGCGGCCCACAGGCCACATGCAACCCCTGAGGTAATTTTTTGTGGCCCACGATGCTCCGAAATAAAATGTAATGAGGGAATTGTGTACATGGTATTGCCTCGATCTCCCCTAAGCGCTATTTTCTTCAGAACAAATTTTTTCTATTTTCTAAAAATTTTCAGAGCATCATAGGCCACAAAAAAATTCCTTTGGGGGCCGCAAGCAGCCTGCGGGCTGCCAATTTGATACCTCTGATTTAGGCCAATGCACATTTCCTGAGGGTCCTAATTTCTTTAGCCACATGGCTCTGGCTAAAATAAAAAGGTAATAGAGCCTTAAGACTTGTCTCACGCGTCTGTACATTATGCTTTCTGCAGGCAACAGGATAGAAGAGGGACTTGATAATAATGGCTTCCATTCTGTGTATTTATCCAACAAGGCTATCAACATCTACATGACCAAAAATACTATGAAAACCCCACAAGAAAGGGACCACATGGCACAAGAAAAAGAAAATGATGGCCCTGTTAGTTACATACGTATATGATTGTGCTTTATAGAGATCTATAAAATTTCCCACAGTACTAAGATCTTTCTATTTTATCACCTCGATTCCCATTATATTACGACTCGTGCTGTCAGTATATTCCAGCTTTGACAGGAACACCAAAGCCCGGAGGGCTTGGAGGGTCAACAGCGAGAACTCAGATGGGGCCGATGAGTTCAGGCCCTGCTTGGCTCTCTGCGTCTCTTCCTTCCATTGGCTCCTTCCCTCACATTAGGGAATGCCATTTCTCGAACCTGTTCCTGAGCTTTCATGGCTCACTGCCTTTGCCTGCCATACCACCACTGCCACCCCCCACCCCCCACCCCCACCCCAGCTTTCGTCAGTTCAGTCAGGAAGGATTATGTCCTGTGGGGGGTTCAATCCGTGGTTGAGTTTTCAGAAGTGGATCATCAGATCTTTCTTCTAGAGCAGCGGTTCTCCACCTTCCTCAGGCCGCGACCCTTCAATACAGCTCCTCATGTGGTGGTGACCCCCAACCATAACATGATTTTTGTTGCTATTTCATAACTGTCATTTTGCTACTGCTATGAATCATAATGTAAATATCTGCTATGCAGGATGTATTTTCATTTTTACAAATTGAACATAATTAAAGCATAGTGATCAATCACAAAAACAATATGTAATTATATATTGTGAAATATTTATTTCTAATGACAAATATGAAATTTTGCCTTGAAGCATGGTGTAGCATAGATAACAGTCTTCACGCTGGGTACTCATATGTGGGTGTGTCTGCATGTGGATCGACCTGCTTGGAGACGGATAGAGAAGCGGTGTATCATTCCTAAGACCATGGGAAATGTATGTTTTCCGATGGTCTTAGGCGATCTCTGTGAAAGGTTGCTCGATCCCCAAAGGGGTCACGACCCACAGGTTGAGAACCGCTTCTAAAGCATCTGTGGTAGCTACATAATTTCACAACTTGGAATTACAGATCGATAAATAAGTGAAGGGTGGGGCCGAGCCTGTCAATCAGGCGACAATCTGATGATGCCTCCTTGTAGGCATGGCCTTCCCATGAGGATTCAGGGAACTTCCTCTTTCTCCCTCGAAGCGGGCCACATACACTCTCTGTCGGCCGTCGATTTCCTGTTGACAAGCCACATGGAGATTTGCTGAGTGAGCCAAGCGGTGCAGACCTGCACCAGCCCTGTGATGCTTTCACTGCTATTGGAGCCACAAGACTTTTCACCCACCGACCTGTGATCTTCCTGCAGTCCGCATCACTGCATGAGTCTGAAGAGAGATTCATGGACCAGTATCAGACTTATGGGATAATATCGGACTTATGGACTTGATCTGGACTAGGTTGGGATGCTTTCTTGATACAATTATTCTTTGATATAAAGCTCTTTCATATATATATCTATAAATCTCTCTCTCTCTCTCTCTCTCTTTCTCTCTCTCGCTCTCTCCCTGGATTTATTTCTCTAGTCAACCTGGACTAACACAGCATCTCTATAACCCAACCAGCATACTGCCATTGAGCTGGTTCTGACTTACAGCGACCCTATTTAGAGTTGCTAAAGGCATTACTCACTCGCTCATTGTCATTGAGCCAATGCGGACCCACAGTGACCCTGTAGGACAGGGTGGAACTGCCCCAGTGTGTATCCAAGACTGTAACTGTTTACAGGAGGACAAAACCCTGTCTTTCTCCCTGGAAGGCACCTCTGGGTAGACTCAAGGCACCAATCTTTTGGTTAGCAGGTGAGTGCAGGGGCTCTTTGTACCACCCAAGGACTCCAAAGAGTTGCCTTTGGGACAGTTTATTTTGCTTTGACAGGTTCTATAGTAAATAGCCGTTCACTTTGCTAGTTCCCTGATACGCTTAAACAGTGGAGGCATCCCTGTCACACTTGCCCTGAATTTCTCCCTGGTCACTCTTGCCCAAATTGGAGGTGTTCAGCCACTTGTTGGTTATTAGACTAACATCTGCTTCTTCTTTAGACTCTACTCCCCAATACAGAAAGGTCCGAGTAAGTCTGTTATGCCACTGTAGGTCCAGAACCCAGGGCTGGGTGTGGCACAGAGGTGGCATTCAATGAATTTCTGTCAGACACATGGACAGAAACTTAGATCAGTGGCTGATGACATAGATGCATAAACAAATGACATAAAGCCAAGGCATGGGGGCAAAAGCTTTGTGTTGATGTTGAAAGGCAAAACCGAAGGAGGAAAGTGGGAAAGAAGACAGTCGGTGAAGCCAGTGGTTTAGGAAGTGGAGAAGACGACCTGAGAAGAGTACCAATGAGAAGGATGGAGAGCTGGGATCGGTGCCGTCACCGCCAGTCTCCCGAAACGGTTGCCGCAGTAAAGACTAAGCCAGGGGGTCAGGCTGAGCATAGGATTGAAGTCAGTGTAGTTCTCTTTATAACACCTTAATGTTTATTTGTTTTCTTGAGGACCCAAGAACTATGAATCCCAGTGTAAGGCTTAGCCCTCCCTCAGAGTTCAAATTCAAGTTTCCATGCCCCTCTGACCCTTTATGAGAAGAGGAACTATGGAGAAAACTGGCCAGAGACAGAAATTGCTGATAAGGGCTTCAGAGGACACTGCATCGTGCACCACTGCTCTAATCCCATTCCCTAATGCACAGGTTCAGTTAACTCAAGGAATCTGGTACCACTCATACCAGGCAGGCTGGGGAGTCACCAGGCAGAGCTCCGCTCTCTCCACCTATTTCCAACAAACAGCCAATGCCCTACCGAAACCCACCAGACACTGAATCCAATTTAAGAACATAATTTTATCAGAATTATCTCTATAGACCCAGCTACCAATGGCAATAGCAACATTTTTGTGATTTCTTGTGAAAAGACATAATTTCTGTGAGATCCCAATTGTGGATGCTCCTCTATAGCAGCGCTGTTGACCTAACTCATCCTGGTACCTCTGGATCCCAATACATAATGCCATACATAATGCTATACAACCTATATCAGGGGTCCTCAAACTTTTTACACGGGGCCAGTTCACTGTCCCTCAGACTTGTTGGAGGGCTGGACTATAGTTTTAAAAAAAACTGAACAAATTCCTATGCACACTGTATATATCTTATTTTGAAGCAAAAAAACAAAACAGGGCAGAAACACCCGGCGGGCTGGATAAATGTACTTGGCAGGCCACATGTGGCCCGCGGGCCATAGTTTGAGGACGCCTGACCTACATAATGCTATAGGACCAGAATCAATCATATGGAAACAACTCCGATTACTGGCAGTAAATTCATAGAGCCCTTTTGGGACTAGATCTCAGATCTCAGAGGAGCACATCACAGAAGAAAAAGAGTTGACCACTGAGTGATAAGTAGTGTTTCAGGAGAAATTCAAAATGAAATCAAAACGTACTTGGAAAACTCGAGGATTCCATGCTCTGGTTTTCATCAGCTAATGAAATTAACCTTAAAATAAAAAAGAAAGAAGTTATCAAGTTCTGCAAATGGTATTTTTCTGATAGACGAGGCTTTCAGTGTAATACGTACTACACTTGTAGCAATGCCCTGTGTATACTTGCTGAAAGAAACTAGAATAGCTAGTTCTCCCATCTCAGGTTGATTCGTGGCATCTGAAGATATGAATGTAGTTTTAACACAGAGTGGATATTCTGTGAATGTCGGTGGGCAGTTAGCCAGAAGTCAGTCAGACAGCACATGGTAGGCGCTGCTGGTGGCTACCATTATTGCCACCACCAGGAAGAGGTTTGCTGGCTCTCCCTACATCTGTCAATTGTCCTGAATTTAGATCACACACTAGATTTTCGTGCTGTGACCACCTGATTTTGTTCTCCATTAAAGATATTATCTAGTATTTGCTTTAAAATTAAAAATACCTAATATTGCCAGCCAAGATTTTTGTGGGACCAAAGGAGCGTTTGGAACTTTATGGGACAACCTAAGTTTGGTTTATCATAAGTTGTCATCTAAGCTTTTTTAGGTATATGGAAAAGCAATCATTGCAGGTAAAACCATCTCGTTTGCTTTCTCAGGTCAGCGAGTCAAAAGGTTAACTCCTGCAGACTCAACAGAAAATGACAGGTTCCCATTTCAACCTTGTTGCCGTAGGGGATTGGGAACCACGTGCTATAGATGCTAAGAGTGTGCTGGGACTTGCAATGAAGGGTGGGGGCAGCACAGTCCCTGTAAAGGGCATGTGTTATGGAGCAGCCACGACCTGCGCTTCCCACTAACCTGTCTCGCACGGAGGAGAAAACAGACGGTACAACAGCAGAAAACAAGATGTCAAAACTCACTGCCCAGGCTTAGTCCAGGTCACGGAATTAGCCATGTAAACATGTTTGAAATGGCAAACCTATGTGTGTGTGTATGCATCTCTCTCCTTATCTCTCTTGATATAGATGTGTGTGTGACGTTTCCAAAAAAATTGTAGGAAAACTCCATTATCGTCAATTCCATTTTCCCATGAACTCTGAAGTCCCCATGTATCTTTACCACAGTAATAATAATGATAATAAACCTTACTCCCACCACTTGTGTCCAAATGCCTTAACGGTTTATGTGTTTTGAGTTGGTTTTATAGGTCATCTCCTTCTGTGAGAGAAAACCCGGGGGTTTTCCCGTCTAGGACATCACCATACAGTGACAGTAAGCCAAGAGCCTGCTAGGATGCTGGGGTGCAGGCCACCAGGTAGAGAGCCGGGTGCACTAGCTCTTCCTTGCTCCCCTTAAATCCCCCACAGGCATGCCCCTCCTAAGTATCCAAGAAATGAGTTCTTATTGGAATGAGTGACTTACAGCACCCCAAGAATATATGCTGAGGAGTTACGGCTCAAGGAGAAGTGAGGCAATAAGGCAATTTCCCTGTGTCTGAAGTCCCCGCTAGACTGGGCCCGAGACCTGAGCTGCCCATCTGACCTGTGGGAGAGAGATGTGGCCAGAGCCGTGCACCACTTACTGATTTGGCTCCTCAGCTGCTGCTTCTGTACTTTCCTGACGGGCGATCTTTTTCCTTTCTTCTTTCTCAATGAGTTTTTTCATAGGGTCTTGTAAACTCTTAATCGAAAGCCAGAGAAAAGAAAAAGAAAACGTTATGTCACTAAGATTCACCTGCTGCTGACCCTGCAACCAAACCTTGAATTCAGACACGTTCAGGGGTCACCCCGAACTGATCAAGTGGACAGAGATGAAACACTACACAGTAAAGTAGCAATGGTCACAGACCCATCCAAGCAAGAAAAGACCCGCCTTAAGAGAAAAGTTGCTTTGCCATTAGATTTATATCTTCCCCCTGGTGAGAAGTTACTCAGAGGAAGGTCCTTGGCTATTACTGATGCCCTTTTCCCACTTGGACACAGACCTGAGAGATGCCTCTGTTCTGCCTGTACCCCCACGCACATAAAGTAGAAAGAAGCCCCCCTGCTCCCACGAAGATGAGTCAGTTTCATTTTATTTTTAATGTTGTTTGCTGATTTGTGATCTAGAAACAATCCCTTAAAACAACAGAAAGCAAAACTTTTTTTTAAACCAACAAACCCTCCAAACAGCAGCTTAACAAACCCTGACACCGGGACGCCCTGAGTGGACGGAGCCGGTGCACCCAAATCTGTTGAGCAGCTTTCTCCTGCCACGTACTTCCTGGAGCTTCTGCTCTCCAAGCTTATTCGATATTTAAGAAACAATTTCTAAAAAACGCCTAGAAAATAATGCCAGTGACAAAGCCTCCGTGAGAAAAAGCTAACAATGATGGAGTCTAGGCAAAGGAAAGGTTATTTGACAAAAATGATCTTTATTGCTGGCCCCGAGTCTAAAATACAGGCTTACGGAAGAAACACCTCAAGAGACTTAACCTTTTGATGTTCCCAGGACTATGAGACGCTTAGAACTCCTTTTCTGGTCCGTCGCCTTCCTTTTGCTCTCCCCCCACCTTTTGCTTCTCTGACCTGACACACAGAAGAAGGCAATCAAGTCTTGCCACCCAAGCCTGACCAAGCCATGTTGTCTAACTAGAAAGCAGGGTGAAGATGCTTCTAAGGCTCAGAGCAGCTCTGAGACTGATTGGTGAGCTGGACACTAGATAGACAGAGGTGTCCCCCGGGCAATGGCCAGCTCTCTCACCCCCGGCCCGGATGATTCCCTGAGGCAGCCATGCCACCATGTTTCCCTTTCACTCCAGAAGTGGTCCCTTCTCTCCCCACAAGGTCTCTAAATTGTCATCCCATCTTCCTCTCCTATCTGTTTCCCAAATATGAGCACCCCTTTCCGTGAGGCCTGTCTCCTCAGTCTCATGTGTGTGATTCTTCCCTAACTCTGTTCACTTGGCTTCTTCCACATACAATCTCTAGTTTTCTCTCCATCCTTACACGCCCTATTGGTTGCTTCAAAGTCCAGAGCAATTACAATTCCTGTAAAACTTCACTAACAGACTAAATACACTGCCATCATAACTGGTTTATAACCGCCCTTTGTAGGGCCTCTGAGACTAAGAAATCCTTCTGGAAGAGCCAGATTCATCTTTTGCCCATGGAGCAGCTGGTAGAGTTGAATGGCTAAGTTTGCAATTACCAAAGCAATGCCTAGCCCACAGTGCCACTAGTTCTTCTATCTCCAAAGTAAATGCAAAGTTTTATTAATATTTTGTTTTCTCTATATGTTTTGTTTTTTCAACTAAGAATGTTTTTAAATTAGAAAAATAGGACTGTGTAGAAAATTTGAAAAATAAGATCATTCCTAACTCTATTGCTCTAAAAGAATGAGATTTTATTTTTTTATATTTTCTTCCTGTTTCATTTTAATACACTACTTATGTAATTGGAATCATTGGGTCTATATGCTTTTATTCACAATAGATGTTCTTATAACCAATATAATCTCCATAGAGTTTCAGAGTAAGTTACAAAGTATATTAAAAGAGAGAATATGACACTGAACACTTAATATTGACCTAAAATATATAAATGTGTATTCATTCACCAATGTTCTGATGTAGAGCTAAGGTCTTCTCTTTGAGTGTGTATCCCTTGATGGATGCTGTTTCTTGCATAAACCACATCCATAAGGGACGGCCATCACTTTAAATGACTTCCTGTTTCTGAACATTTGGATGAGTCGATCCATTCAACACATTGTTTTGAGCACTTACGAAGTGTCAGGTGTTATTTGGGGTGTGTGGGATATATTGCCGGATAAGACAAGGAAACCCAACTAGCAGCTAGTGATGGATCTAGGCAAAGTACTGAAATAGGATAGAAAATGACTGGGTTATTATTTCAGTCTGCAGCGAGCTTGTCTTTGGAAGTGACATTTCAGCTGTAACTAACAGACAGGAAGGAGCCAAGCAGGTAAAGCTCAAGAGCAAAGGCCCAAAGGTGGGAACCACTTGGCTTGTTCTAGGAATAAGACGAAAGGACCCAGGGCTGCGGTGGGGTAGACAGCAGTGCACATTGTGTATGGATGGAGCGGTCACTGGGGATCACACAAGGACAGTACAGTATGGTGATGTAAAGTTACTAGTTGGATTTTAAAAGTCCTTATTTTGAAATTTTCTGGAAAAAAAATGGCAAGAAAACTACAAAAAACTCCCCTATTCCCTTTACCCAGATTCACCAATACAGCACTCTCTCAGCATGCTTAGGAGGATTGGTTTGGGGGCCCCAGGAAGATTTCAAAATCCATGAATGCTCAAATCCTGCATCTAAAGTGGCACAGAATTGCATGTATCATTCCATATCCATCCGATTATCTTTTGATTACTTATAAAAGGAGTTCTGGTGGTACAATGGGTTAATCATTGATCTGCGTACTAATGAAAAATAGGGGGGCCACACCTATTGGAAAATGATGAGGCAGACAGCTTCCATAAAGATTTATAGTCTCTTGACAGCCTTGTGGAGCAGTAAGAGCCTGCCTTAAGGGGTTACTATGAATCAGAATTTGGTTTGGAATCAGACTTTGGTTTGGTTATATTACTTACAGTACATAGTAGTGTAAAGATACAAATGCTCTGTAAATACCACTTTCCTGCTCCATCCGCCTTTGGGGTACTGCTCCGAGTATTTTCTAACCAGCGTGGGTTGACTTTGCGGTTATGGAGGGTTGGATGTATTGGATATTTTGTATGCTTGTTTTCATAATGTTATTTCTGTCTCTGTCTTTCTAATGAGTGACAACTAAATGAAATATATGCTCCTTGACTAGATGGTGACGGGAAGGGAGAATACACAAAGGACTATATCGGGAGCTTCATGGACTGATCTTTTTAAACAGACCTGCCTATCACAGGATTTGATATTTTCTCTCTCCTCTGCTCTTCCCCCAGGCCCCTCACATACACATACTTTCCTGCAGCTATATTTCCCCATAGAAGAATCCAACTTTAGACAAAGTGAAGCATGGGTGTCTTCGACCAAGGTTCCAATGACTCCACGGCTCAGTTTAGAGCATCGGACACCTGCCCAGGCCTCTCAGTTACCTGATTCTCTTCTCGCTGGAGTCCCTTTTTATCAGCTGGCGCTAGGCAGGACCAGGGCATGTCTGCTCTCCATAGTGTCTAGCGGCCACAGCACTTGCCTAAGCCCCTGAGATGCCCTTGACAGCTCCACGGTTCTCATCCCTTCTGTCTCCACGCTGACCTCCCTTTATAACCACCCTGAGGCAGCTCTAAGACAATTCCTTTGTAATGTAAGCCACTCATGCCTTCTTTTCAACTGCTTTTTGTTGGCACCCTGTCTCCACAATCACAGCTAACAGTCACTGTTATGCTTCAGCAACAGAGTGGCTGCAGTTCCATTACTACTTCAATTCAGTATTAACAATTCCTGTGACAGTCGCTCCCTTTTCTCCACAAGTATCATCGCCCTTATAACAGTTTGGCTACTGTGGCTCATGAGATGTCTTATATTTGTTGGTTGATTATCAAACGTACACAAGGTGAAACTAAAAACTAAAACAAAAAAAAAACCAAAAAAAAAACCCAACCAAACTCTGTCATAGATTGAATTGTGTCCCTTCAATATATGTGTCAGCTTGCCTAGGCCATGATTCTCCATGGTTTGGCTGGTGTACTGCTAAAATCAACCCTCTCCCCATGATGTGATCTGATCATGATCCGCCTGTAAATTGTAAGGGGAAAAAAGATGGGATGTAAAGCCGTTATTTGAGTCACAGCTCTGGGCTGCTGTATTGGGAGTTTCCTTCTTATCTTACAAGAGCTAAAAGGAGTGAGAAGTGAGCAGAGAAAGAGGGACTTCTCTACTGTTATGAATGAAGAGCTAGGAGGAGGGTGAGTTCATTGGGCCTTGGGTCCCTGTGTAGAGCACTTCTCATGCCCTAAGGAAGACCGATGCAGGACAAATGGGATCCCCAGGAAACACCAGCTGTTGAAAGGAGTCAACACAGAGAAAGCCTTCTTCCAGAGCTGGTGTCCTGCATTGGATTTCTAGCCTCCTAAGCCGTGAGGAATAAGTTTCTGTTGATGGAGTCATATACGTGTGGTATTTCTGGTATCGCAGCTCTAGATTCCTAGATTAAGACAGAACTGGTACTAGGAATGGGGTGCTGCTCAAACAAATACCTAAAATGTGGACGTAGTTTTGGGATTTGGTAATGAGTGGAGGTTGGAAGAGTTTTACTGTACCTAATAGTAAAGCCAAATTTGCCTTCAGGAGTCTGGGTGGAATTATGGATGTCAAAAGAAATTCTAAGGTGTCAGAAGGTAGGGAGTAGAGCTGTAAAACTGGAGATAAAAGGAAACAATGGTAGAGGAATGATGGCTGCAGGGCCAGGAGACCTACAGTAAATGGCACGGACACCAACCCACAGAGTGAGAGTCAAATGCCTTTGGGCAGGAGGCATCTGGTGAGTGGGGTGTCCCAAGCTTGCTGACCCATGGAACAAGGACAGCCTTGAGTGGAACTACTTCTAATCATAAACTGATGGAAGTCACATTCAAATCCATGTCCCAGAAATGAACTCCTAAGTATTTGTTTCTAATCCCCAAGCCCACTGGACCCTTCATTAGAATTCTTTGTGAAAACCAGCAGCGCAGTATCATATAA